AGAGGGGGCCTTATGGTGCTTTCAGCTTCGTAGTCAGTATCATTTAGCGCTGAGAAACTGGCCTGGGATCAATAACATCCCCAAGACAATTCCCCGCCCCTTTCACCCACTCCATCCTCCCCTCTCCCTCTCCTCCCGCTGGCAGTCGTTGCCTCAACGCCACAAAGACGTGACTCTGCCAGCGCGTCTGCCACCCGCCCCCGCCGACCCGCCGACCCGCCGCCCCAGTCGTTTCCTCTGTAAAGTCTAGGAAGCACCCTAATTTTCGGAAACGCGGTCGTAAGGGGCGGAATTTGACGACTAACGGTAAAAGTGTCCGCCTCGCATTCCCCATCCCCCCGTCCCCTCCCCGGATAGCGTCGGCGGCGTCCTGCTGTCCGGGGGTCGGGGCGAGCCTCGCGGAAACAGTCAGCAGTGTCGTTTACCCTGCCTGGCTTGAGTCGGGGCCGGGCGGGGCGGGGCGGGGTGGCATCCGCGGTCACCGACCCGCCCGATACGTTTCTCATACCGACCCCGCCTCGGCTGCCATCAGGGCCGTCTTACTCCGCCATAACGACACGAATAATCATTCCGTTACTCGCGCAGGGGATATGGCTGGGCTCCGCTCAATTTATGGCCCCGCGGGGCTGACAAGGGAACCTTTTCAGGTGTAAATCTCCGATTTCGTTGAAACTTGGAAAATTTGAAGGTCATTTATGTAGAAATCGGATGGCACTTGAAACTCTTCCTAAACCTGACATTCAGTTTTCCCCTATATAAGGTAGGAGGTAGGTGTTAGAAAAAAATATTTTTTGAAAAATGTAAAGCAGTGTTCTAAGGGGTAACTCATCAAAGTAGCGCCCTTTGGGCCAAAATTTTGTCCGTTTTGCTCTATTTTGAACCGTTAAAGCGGTAGAGGGATATTTGGAGCAAAAAACAGTGTCAGGCTTAAGTAAACCCCTAGTAAATGTTAAGTTTATGCTCTATTTTGAACCGTTAAAGCGGTAGAGGGATATTTGGAGCAAAAAACAGTGTCAGGCTTAAGTAAACCCCTAGTAAATGTTAAGTTTAGGAAAAATTTCAAGTGCCATCCGACTTCTATTATGATAACCTTTAAATTTTCCGAGTACCAACGAAATCGGAGATTTACACCTGAAAAGGTTCCCTTGTGAGCTCGGCGGGTTGGTCAGGGCAGCAGCGGGGGCGGCGCCGTCGAACACGATGTGTTGCCTATATCCTCGGGCGGGGGTGCCCCGCGTCGACGCTGCTTGCTCTTCGCACACTGCTCCCCGCCGCCCCCTCGGCCCCACCACCGCCCCGCGCTGTCCTTCCCTTCCGGGCTTCATCGCGACCCGTCCCGTTCGCTCGCCTCGCGTCCCATCCCGTCCGGATGAGTTTCGCAACCCAGTGCGTTTTGTTGACAGGGGCGACAGGCGGCGGCCGGCCCCAGTGCCGCACAGTCCCTCGCTCTCTGAACGTGCTGCGCACTTCTCCCGCTTCCCCTGTCCTGTCACGGCTCGGATTGGCCGCCCTGCCGTCTCGCCCTTTCAGTCTGCCACCTGGCCGAGGCTAACCCCTCACACTCTGGCCTCTGCTACGCAACCGGCTCGCCAGGCTCGGTCTGGCAGGTCCGCTGCTGCCAGCTGATGTGGCACCACCATTAAGTCCGTCCAAAACACCTCACGTCGTATACGCCCTTCCTTGCGGTCGAGAGGTTCCCAATACACAACAAGCCCGATTTTAGTTTTACCGCTTTTACGTACGCTTTCCGAGAAAATCCAGAGTTCATCATAGAAGACACTTGGTTCGAATGAGCTTTCAAGCAGACGACATTATGAAGCAACTGAGCACACAGTATGATTGCTGAAGACACTCAGGGATGCTTTTACAGATGTACTCGGAACAACTTTGTGTTTGCCCTGCGTTGTTGCCGCGCTGCGCTGCGCTGCTGGGGTGGCGATGGCGCCTGGCCCAGATTTGGGGGAGGAGGGGGGGGGGGTCGCCCCTCCTCTCGCTCTCTGTCGTCTCTAGTGAGCCACCTGAAAAAAACAGTTAATGCTCACAACTTATTCGGGAATAGTTTGAAAACATTTTCGTGTTTTAGTGGGCAAATGTTGGGGGCTCGGCGCCTGTGAAATTCAGGGTAGACCCCACCGCAGTACACGCGTACACTGAAGGCTAACTGTTGCCTATCCACCAGGCGCTATGAGAGCTTGCAGAGTTGGCCGGACGGCAGGTTTGTGACGGCTAATCACGGACGTACTTTCTGGACGATCTCTCACCTTACCCGCAAAACATCTAACAGATTCGTTCGCTAGGTAGTACAACGGCCTCCTACATTCAAAAACGTTCTTGAATGAGGTGAATGTGCTCGGCTAAACCGAGAACATTGGCTTTGTCTTCCTTCAAATTACCTGAGGGCAAATAAAAATTGCAAAATAAAAATCAATAAGGGTCAAGAACACGCTTTTCTGGATGCACTGTAACACACTACTTTTCGTTGCGCTCCTCAGCTTGTTCACCAGACAGGCCGCACTTCAGCAGGTTGATGACACTACACCTTAGCCTCAGCCGCAGCACCAGCACCAGCACCATGACCAAGAAAGTGAACTCCCACCGCTGAAAGTTAAAGCCGTGAACCTTCGTGCACACATGCCAGAGAAGATCGCGAGTGGTATTCGAGTGCGTTGATGAGGACTTGTTGAGTGGTTGATGAGGACTTGTTGAGTGGTTGATGAGGACTTGTTGAGTGGTTTGGCGAGGACATGGAGGGGCTGCTGGGCGCCGCCATCCTGGCGCTGCTGCTGCCCAACGCGCCGGCGCACATCCGCGGCCCGCCCGCCGCCCTGGAGGAGCCCGTCATCATCGTGGAGGATGCCGAGGGTGAGGACACCGAGGTTCGAGTCCCGGTGGACAACACAACCGCCGGTCGTCGAAACAAAAAAAAAAAAAAAAAAAGTTGTCCGTGTTTATTCTTTTGTGTCCCACGCGCATGATTTACGCGCTCGGGCGTTTCTCATCCTGCAAAAAAAAAGGAAAAATAGAAAAGACAAAAAAGGGGGAAATGTGCTAATTGGCAGTCATCCCGCTGCAGCCAGGGCTGTACTTAGGCGCCTAATTAGCACAACGGCGCCTTGTTTCGCTCGCAATGACTTAAGTCTGCTGCTTTTGTTTTGGAAGAAATAACACGCTAATATGACACTTTACTCGCCTTTCTGATCTGTGCCGCGGCGCGTCTTTGTAATTAAGGAACCCCTCCTGCTGCTTCCAGTGTGCTTCCGGCGGGCGTTGGCGGGGGGCCGTCTCCACGAGCAGCTCATCCGCCGCTCGCTGCCCGCGGACCACGCGGACCGCTGCCGGCGCGCCTGCGCGTCCGAGGACCACTTCACGTGCGAGGGCTTCAACTACCGGTGAGAACCCAAGAGCACGCAGAGGAACTATGAACACAATTATCACCAAATGCTGCACAGAAACTGTACTGTTGTTTTGTTGTCTTCTTTCCTTCTTTTTTGTAGGGGGGGGGGTGTTAACAAATTTTCAAAAGCCAAATTTTATTAGAAAGAGCAATAACATTTTTAAAACATATTTTTGAAAAAAATAATCGAAAACATTGAAATTTTAGAACATAACTCTTTGAGTCGCGATGAAATTTGAATTACGTAAAACTTTACTACTGGGTTTTTACCCTTTCTTATTATTATTTAGCTGAATACCACTCTACCTACGATACAATTAATATATGCGACGAATACGACTCGCATACCACAAATCGCGCCAAAGGGCGATGATGCCGACCTCTGCTGGAGCTAAAGAGGCTTTGTCCCGGCCAATTACAGCCATTCGTGTCCGAGTGAGGCTCGGCTCGGCTCGGCTCGGCTCGGCTCGGCTCGGCTCGGCTCCCGCTGCAACGAGAGACCCGCTCAGCAGCGATCCGCTCAGCGGCGGCGCGGCGTCGAGTTTGTAACGGAAATAATGGGGGAGCCGCGGGGGGCGCGCGCTATTATGAATTGCTAAAAAGGAGCAAACGCGCCGTTCCC